CTGTGACAATTATGCCACAAACGGAACACTAGTACTATGCAAGGATGTCGCTCTCTAATTAAGAGGGCTCTGCTTTTCCTAGCCGCCCGCACTTTAATAACACACAAAATGAGACTTGGCTCCAGGAGCTAAAGGTTCTATTAGGAGGCATGTGCAGCACGCGGCTGCGGCACGCACATCCCCCCCGTGAGTGATGCCACCCGGGGAAGCCTGCTAACACCTTCAACTCTCCCTCAGACGGGAAGGGAAGAGAGCCGTTCAGGCCGCCCCCAACATGGGGCCCCGCTGACTGACAGGCATCTTCCCTGAACACCTGTGCGTGTCTCCACTGCAAATCGAGCCTCTCTCCCACAGCAGCGTTCCCCAACCAGGGAGGCTCAGGTGGGTTTGATCCTTAAAGAGCGACTTTACTAAGGGCTTTCGTAAAAATAAAAGTCCACGGGAACGAATTTTCCTCTTGAAGATGGAAAGACAAAACAGGAACCACACCCCCCCCCCACCCCGCCCTCCCCGCTGGCGGAAAGACAAAAGAATATTATTAACATCATAGCTATAAAGAAGGATGTTGCCATTTTCTAAACTGACTGCTAGATTCATGGAACGTGGCTAAGCAAGACAAACCGTTTTCGGCTTAATTAGTGGCTCCTTTATGGAAGGTTTGCAGCCTGGAGAGAACCCATTAGAGGAGTAGAGCTCATTTATGGAGATGCACCTTCTAAGCTATTGGAATTTAAAATAAATAGTGGAGAAGGAAACGGTGGTGGAGGTGGGAGTAGGGGGCTATGGAGGCAGAAAAGCTTCCACAGGAGACGAGCTTTGCATTCCAAGCCGAAGTGCGCGGGGTGGGGGGGGGGGCGTGGGGGGGCGCGCGGGGATCAGCTGCCCTAAGCAAACACAGAATCCTCTGAAATTTTAGGCCAATAGGAATGACCTCTGTACCATGGCTGACTGAAGATATAAATAAACTTCAACATGAACAGCAGTGTCAACTGTGAGACAAGAGATGAGAGTCCAATTGGGGCTTATTTTTTGAAAGTCCAGGTTGTGCTGACTCCGGCTCAGTGGATGGCATTCATGAGCACAAAGCTGCTCGCTCCCTGCGGCGAGCCCCCCGCTTCACCAAGCACCAGCCCCTCGGTTACCTAACCACCGCGAGGAAGCTGTGCCACACGCAAGTTAAATATAGGCTGAGTTATCTGCATCTTACAAGCACCAAGGAAGTTATCTGAGGAAGCTGTCATTTTTAATGACAGCACAAACTTCCAATTACCAACTGGGTAATACACTAGGGAGCGGGGATGATTTTATAAGAATGACTCACAATTATTAAAAGTTTACATGATTACTTTTGAATTGGATATAAATACTTCTCACGAGGCACGTGGGATTAAGTCTTGCGAGTGGTCTATATTCAAGGCTGGAAAAAAAAGTTGTTTACTTGAAAATCCTGTTATTTTGAGACTTATCAACAACTAAGAAGCAGGGGCTGCACGGTGACAGCAATTAAGAGCCAGGAAAAGCTGGGAGGTTTTAAAAACGGCCCGGGGGTTGGTTTAAAGTCTCAAGTACAAGTTCACTGGAAAGTCAGAATGCAAGAGTTAGGGGGCTGGCAAGAGAGAATACAAGTAAGGAACGCACATAAGGAACCCAGCTTCCTTGGGTGCTGTCTACCTAGCTCCCCTGGCCTCTAGTAGCTCCACCCGTCAGTGCTAAATACAGAGTGACTGTGTCCAGGTGTCGCACACATTTCCCCACATAGATCAGACAGCGCTCGACCTGCGTGAAGGCTACAGTTTGTATGTCTCCGATCACCCAATTCTTTGTAATATCTCTCCTGATGACTTTCATCTCCAGGGATTTCCCCATTTCTTGACTCTTACATTGACTTGTGATATTACTACTTAGCTCCAAATAGACCCCAGTTCTTGGGGACAAGGGTATCTTGATTTAAAATCACCTAGAATGAGTAGGACAGGTGGTCAATGAAGACCAATGCGACATACTGTTCTCAACTTCACAAAACCACCAACACGAATGTAATTAAAAGATTTAATAATCGTTAACTGATTGATTTGGCTAAAGAATCAGGTTGATTTCTAAAGTAACTCAAATGTGTTCTCAAGAGGCCATTTCTGCCACACCAGCAGAAAACAAGAGGGTTTGGGCCTCTCCACAGGAGGCACAACCCCGCGGTGTGGTGGGCGGGACGCATCGACAGTGGCTCCGCAGCCTTCGCCCCTCTCCTCTGCACATCAGTCTATCTGCTTGGCTCCAGAGGCTTCTAGGGCCCGCCCAGGTTACCTGCCAGCCCCTCATGGTATACAGCGTTACAGGGGTTATCACTAGACTGAAGCAAAAGAAAAGCAATCAGAGAACCTGAGAGAACAAGAAGAGGAAGCATACATTCTCCGCCCCACAAAGGATAAATGCTCGAAACCACCAGAAGCTGAGATTAGGGTAACGATTAGAAAGCATGACATCCTTGCTGGTGTGGCTCAGTGGACTGAGCCCTGGCCTGCAAATCCAAAGGTCGCCAGCTCGATTCCCGGTCAGGGCACATGCCTGGGTTGGGGGCCAGGTCCCCCGTTGGGGGCATGTGAGGGGCAACCAATCAATATTTCTCTCCCTCTTTCTTCCTCCCTTCTTTTCTAAAAATAAATGAAATCTTAAAAAAAAAAAAAGGCATAAGCACTCAGTAAGTGAATAGGCTCAATAAATTTACACATCCATATAGCCAAATACCAATTAAAATCGTGCAGGTCTATTTTTATTGACATAGAATGTCTATGCTAGGAGAAAAGTATGCATAGTATAGTCCCCCTCCCTTTTTTTTAAATCAAAACTATACTTCTATGCATAGAAAAAAGTAGTCAGCTACACAAGTGATTCTTGCTGACTTGGTGGGATTATGGGTAATTTTATTTTTTCTTATCTGCAGGTTATTTTTCTACAATGAACACGAATTACTTGCATAAGAAATAATGATCAAAACAGACCCCGTTCCTTCCCTTTAACAGACATTAACAATACTTAACATCAGTTTAATAATAAAATATGCTAAGAGTGTTTATAAAAGCCAGAACTCTATCAACAGAGTGGATTATAAATCTAAGAGCTAACAACCACATAAAAAGGTGGCAGGGTAGGGGGTAGGGAAGAAATCCTCTCTTTGAGATAAGGAAACAATCAATTTACTAGGGGAGTAAGTGGCCTTCTAACAAGTGAAAAGAAGGAAAGGAGACCAAATAACCTGTTTCATTTTCTATAAATAAAACCTTAGAAGGCATATCGCCAAAGAAACACAAGTCAATAGAAACCTTTATATACTGGGCTGCTGAACTTCACTTTTAGACAGTATATTAATTATGTACTCAATAACCATGGGTTTCATTAGTGTATTAAATACCATGATCAATATTATTTATCCTTTTTGAAGACAGGCCACTCACGGGGGAGGGGCAAGTCGGGGAGGGGGAAACTTTTGACCCTGAAGTTCAAAAAAGTCAGAACAGCACACTAGAGATTAGCAAGGCTTTAATGGAAAAGCATAAAACACTAAAAATATGGACAGAAATCAGATTATTACGCTTTTATTTTTTTTCTTGCCTCCTTCACGAGACTGGAGGGAATCCAAGAACCATTTAAAATAAGGGCGAAATGATTAGATTTTTTCCTAATTGCTTAACGCTGATGTCATGGCACATGCAAAATAAGCATCGATCTCTAAGTGAAAGATGAGGAACAGAATGACATGAACAGCCTTTTGAGTAAACTATATCCAAGAGAATTCTAAGAGCAGTGGGCCAGAATCTATTTAGGCAATCTTCAGGGACCTAAATCTCTTAAAAGCATAACAGTGGAGCCAATTTCTGATGCTCCTCTACTGGTGATCCGATTTTTAGTAGGGAAATCTGCTGAACACCCTCCCTAGAGGTTGCTGCCCTCCCCCCAAGCAACCCCATGGATTCCTAATCACATCCGTGTAGATACGCTGGTTTCATCACATGATCACTGAGGACACGTGGTGACTGGTACTCTTGAGATGCGTCATGGTAACACTGCCAGTAGATAGACGTGTAGGGAGGGGGCCGGGGAGGCAGGGAATGCTGGGAGGGGTAGATATAAAATACTGGTTACTGGACAGAAAGCTAGCTTACCACTTCCAACCCCTGATGTGTCAATGCAGAACAGTGAAGATTTAATTTTCTAGCCAGTGCTTTATGAACAAGGTCATGCAGAAAAAAACTTCCACAATAATCGTTGAGGCCTCAGCAAAAGAATCAAGTGCAGCCCAGTGACCATCTTCGGAGACTAGAATGTGTCTAAACAATTAGCGGGCTTGAGAAAAAGACTCTTTATGTCTGTTCTGAGCAGCAGGAGCCATCCTGCCTGGAGCCGCTAGTTCCTCCCACAAGGGGACAGCTAAGGATGAAACAGACAGGATATCATCACTACAGCTCCACAAAGGGCCTCCATACGTTGCACTGGCACAAATCAAAACCCAGGTCATCCCGCTGCCCGGGGAACTCAAAGAGGGATGTGCGGCAAATGCCAAGAAGTGGGCTGCCGCAACCGGATAGATAATTAATATGATTAGGAACACACAGAGCAAGCATGCTCTTGCTGACTGAAAAGCCCAGTAGCATAATTACTGTTTTCTTACCAGCTCACTCTCTACACATTTCAAAGGCTGGTTGGTGTTAGACTGCTGTGTAAACATCAATAAAATCCCAAAGTGCCAGATCATCAGCATTCTTGGGCACAGTGGCTTTTTGTTTGTAGTGTTTTCATTCTTTTAAAGATGAATTTCAGGTTTCAAGCATTAGGAAGAATGATCTCTGTGCCTTGGACTGATGTTCAAGTTTGTAATGAGTTAACATCTCCCCCAAGTGAACAGTTATTATGAAGGCTAATTAATTGCTTTCCAGTTAGAAGAACCCTCAGCATTCAAAGAAAGTAGGATTCGCAAGCAAAGAATATACTCTTTATTAAAACAAAGCAAGGGAAACAAGGGCTACTCTGTTCAAAATCTCCCCTATTTAACAGAGCCTTAATCAAGGAATATGTATAGGTAAGGAGTGTGTGTCCGCCAACTGAAATGCAACATTAATTTAAGTGAAAACTAAAGCTGGGCTTTGTAGTTGCCTGGGTGTCCCTAGGGGACAGCAAGTCAATGCTTATCAGCCTTCCTCAGAAGAGACGATTTTGATTAATATCAGACCTATCTGACTTGGTCTATTAAACCCCGAAGGAAGGATATTCTTCAGATATAAAAGATAAGTCTTTGATGAATAATTCTACCCTATTGCCATTCCAAGCATTACCAACGTGTGGCCCCGCTAGAAAGGGAGCCTTTGAATTCTGGGAAGACATGCTTAGTGAGACGCCCAGGTCCCACACAACCACTTCTTGGCGCTCTCACCCGAGCAGGGACCCAGGCTGTGAAGGTGTCGCTCCTGGAGAGGCAGAAACTCTGGTTATAAACTTTATTTCGCCATCCGCAGATGTAGGGTCAGTTACTCGGGACATAATTCCTGCTCGAAGGTAATGAAATCCTAATAAAACCAACAGAAGTCTGAAGACAGAGAAAGTGACTGGTACTACACTACCCGCCATCCGACCCCCTGGGTCTGACCGTTCACACCACAGCCACCTGAGCCTAGTTTCCTTTGTCTACCAGTGGGTTGCAAGGTGCACGTAAGATAGGAAATCGCTCAGTCCACCAATAAAGAGGCTCTAGGTGCCACGAAGCTAATGTGAAATTGTGGCACAGGAGGTGAGAAGAAATCAATTTCATTCAGCTCTTTATTTTCAAACTTCTGCCCAATCAGCATTGCTCTTCTCACAGTGCTGCATTTCTCCTGATGTTCATGATCAACCTTTTGCTATATTCTCTGTAGTCCACGGGCTTCACGTCCATCACGGTGGCCTTGATTCGAGACTCATCCTTTGAGGAGAGAAAAGCAGCATGTGAATCAAGGAAAGCCCGTGGCAGCAGCCACGGGGATAGCCCCCTTCGCTTCAGTGGTTTCAATGATCCCAGCAGGAGAAAACACAAACACATGCACATCCCTTAGATATGTTATCGTGCTAGATCCAGAGTTCAGTCATTCCAATAAAGAAAAAATTGTGAGTGAGGGCCAAGCCCAAAATTTCCAGGGCTGGGAGAGTGGACAGAGACCTCCCTTCAACACAGGCTCTCTTCACCCTTCCCTCCTGCCCCCAACACGCAGAAACCTGGAATCCAGTGCGATGGCCCTCAGCGGGCTTACCAGGAGCAATACATTCTCCTTATGGAGGGGTGGGGGGGGAAGAACCCAGAGAAGACAAGTGGCTTGCCTAAAGCCACACAGCTGGTTCTGAGAGCTGAGTGTGACACCTGTGGCAGAGGAGGGAGACCTGTTTGGGCCCCACCTCAGCTCTGCCAGAGGCAACCTCTCTGCACTTCACCTTCCCCATCCAAGCCACGCAGGGACTGAATGACCCTTCAGATCCCTCCCTGAGCCCAACTCACTCACACATTGTCTCACGGGCACGTGATTCTTAGTCTCACTTAATGCTTATGAAAACAAACACATTTATCACCAGGGATGAAGATGAAGGTCTAATAATAGAACAGAAGGAGTTAACCCTGAAACAAGTAGAGATGTTCTCAGAATCCTCCCTCCTTGATTGATCAGTGCCTTTATAGGCAGAGCGGGGTGACGCCCAGAGGCGGCAGAGCCTACCTCCGGGGCTCGCTCACTGTAGCAGGCTCAGTAATTACTCAGCACAGTTATATTTCTACACATGGTTAAAAGCGAAGTTCTGCACTTGGACTGCCCGGCTAGGGATCTGACATCTGCCACTTGTTAGCATATGACTTTGGGGAAATTACTTATTCTCTTGTACGTGACATTTTTCACTGGTGAAATGGAGATAACAATAGTTCCTACATATAGAGTCACTGTCACGATCTAGTGAGGTTATAAATGGAAAGTAAAGGGTGCAGAACACAATCTGGCAGACAGTTAACTGCTCAATAAATGCTGTTTTATTATGACTACACAACTGTATGATATTCTGGGCAATTTAAGGAATTTTCAAGGTAATTTTAACTGCATGTGGTCTTTGTTTTATATACTGACTTTAGAACCCAGACTTTGTGGAAGATGCAAGTCCATTAGACATATTATCATTCTTTTGTTTGTACATAAAGAAAAACCCCAGGTTCTAACTGAAAAGACCACGTAGCATTTCCTCCCCCAGATGCCCGACACTGGACGAGACACCGAACCTCTAAGGACGCTCCTCATCTGAAAATGGGGACGACAGTGGTACCTCAGTGTTGGGAAGTTTCAGTGAATCATACACGCAGGGCGCTTAGCGTTGGGTCAGGCACACAGTGAGCAACTGACTGGCGGCCAATACCGCAATGCGTGGTGGGCAGACCCCCGCAGCCCCACCGCTGACCCTGCCGCAGCGCGGTGACCTGACTTACATTGTAGGTCTCTAGTTTGACCCTGATCTTGAATATGAAAGATCGAAAGTTGGCATTCTGGAAGATTTCCTCAAATGCTTGCTCGTTCTGCGAAAAGAAATAGAAAACTTCAGACCTGAAAACTACTGACCCATTTGAAAATATTTGTCAGACTTTTAAAAAGACTTTGAGAAAAATCTGAGAAAATTATCACCCCAGTGGTTTAAAATTACTCAGGAATGACTAATCTACAGGTGACATTTCATTACATAAAACTGTTTAAGTACAATTTTATTAAAAATTAAAAGAGTCTATCTAGAGAGGTCAAATTCCGAGAGACAGGAAATAGAATGGTGGTTGCAGGTGAGGGGTGGGCGTTGGGGGCGCCGGTGTTTACGGGACAGAGTTTCAGCCTGAGGAGGGGAAAGGCTCTGCGGCTGGATGCTGGTGAGAGTGGTGAATATACAGCCTATACTTAAACATGGTTAAGGTAAGAAACTTTGTTATGTATATTTTGTAACAAGAAAAGCATTTGAATAAAAAAAAGGAAACACTTCTAGGAAACACATTCCTAAACTTCAAAAGTTTAAGGCGAAATGGATCCTGAGGCCCAGCATCTTCCTTATAAATTGAGAACTATGAAAAAAGCCCTTCAGAAAGGGGTGCACGTTGTCGGATGTGCTATTTCAGCCTCTGTGTCTACAGCTACCAACCTGATGAGCAGGTGAAGACAGGAAAAGGGGACAAACTTAGGGAAAGTTTAAAACACAGCGCTTTTCATCTTTCTCTCGCCCCTCGAATACTATTTGATTAAGCATCTTTGTTTAAAAAAAAACAAAAAAAGCCTGGTCAACAGCGGGGTTAGAGAAAGCATATTATAGAAATACACATAAAATTTACAATAACTTTATATAAAAAGTTCCTATCAGGCAAGCCACATGGAACATAAAACTAGCTTTGTCACATAAAACTCTTTTGTGTAAAGGTTACTACACACTCACAAAACAAGTCCTCTGGGCTTTCCGACATATAAATAAAACAATGTGTTAAACCTTCAGGAAGTTATACCAGCGGCCATCACTCTTCCAGGCCGAGGGACAGCCCGGAGCCGCACTCCAGGCAGGTCGTGGCTCCTGAGGGAAGGGCTCCTCTATGTCCTCATTCGCCAGCAGTAAGAACAGTCCGCTGTAATGCGCTCGTGAAAACCCTGAAAGGCTGCCTTGAGCCTTAAAATCTGGTATGAAAATAGACGACCAGGCAAAACAGGTAAAAGAGGCCATCATACTTTAGAGTCAATTCCAGTTATTTCTATAAAAGGGTTTGTTGGGATTATTTCCAGAGATGTCAAAGACAAAATTTTAGAAAGAGGTAGGGGCAGAGAGACAGAACTGAAGACAGAAAAGAATAAGAAAAACACCCAAACCTCACATCCCCTTTTCTTATGCTTTTACAAGTATTCTAACTGATCTGGAGAAAGTGGGGGGAAAAAAAAGTTAATAGATGGATGCCAATTTGTGTGGCCCTGAAAATAGTTTTTAATGGTCTTCCTTAAGAGATTATGCTAATTATTAGCATAATCAGTAATCTGTTACCTGCATTAAACAAACCTAAAGTGTAAAATTTCAAATTTATAAAAATGAAATAATTTATGAAAGAAAGTTAATTCATATAAAAGACCCATGGACAAAGCCAAAGTGGGGAAGGACGGAGGGTGGGAGGTGGGGGTGCGTGGGGCAGGGGAAAGTGGTGTCAGGGAAATGTATTAGAACCATTAAAAAAAAAAGTTACTTCATAAAAATTGCATCTGATGACCTATAACAGCAAGTACCTTATCTGTAATTTTAAACCAGGATTTGACACAACTTTTTGGGAAGGTGTTTCTGCTGCAAGGGCACACCTGTACGTCAGGCTCCCTCAGAAGACGCCCCCGTGTCTCACGCGGCCGCAGGCACCCGGCACACCCACGCCGGAGCGCTCCAGGAACCGGGGGCGCGGGGCTGCGTTTCAGGCACTTTTGTCTATGGCACTTCATGACCTCATTGTTAGCAAATCCAAGATGGACAAACATAAGTAAAAATCAGACGAACAACTCAAATCATCCTCAGGCTGAGAACTATATACAACACCCAAAAGAAGCAAACCCCAAAACAGTAAAGACGGTGCCCCAGCACAGGGACCGCATCGGTGGGAACGGGCGGCAGCTGACCTTCTCCTTTAACTCGCCCAGGTAGGCCGCGCTCTGACCCAGGATGGCCTCTGCAGACTCCTGGAAGCAGGTGACCCACTGATTGTCTTGATAATCGGCAATATTCACCTACAAAACACAACTCAGCATTATTTCAGCAAAGAAAGAATAAAGGGAAAACACGCTCAGGAGATGGGAGGTCAACTTTTTCCATTCATTAATATAATCACCTGGGAAAAAAACCATTACCACCATGTATATATACTATATTCTTTCCAAAAAACATGGAAAGTATCAAAGAAGGAGAGTTTGAAGTGGAAGTCTGGATCACAGCAGAAATACAAGAGGCTGCGGATGTGTGAGCTCAGATCTCAATGGAGACACAGCCCAACTAAACTGTCTTTTATAGGCAGAATCCAGGCACAGTGGACTAGCTCCCCTCCAGCTGCGATGGCCTGTGGACTGAGGGTGTGAACAAGCCTCCAATGAGTTAGGGCAGGTTCACTGCATTTAAATTGTACATCCTTCGGTGGCGAGGAGGAGCTCCATGGGACGGCTCTCAGCCACTGCTGAGCATCCCAGACAATTGAAAAGCCTGAGCTATGGGCCTTTGGTCAGCCACCAAATTTTTAGCAACAGAAATGAGCAATCAAATGTCTCCAGTTGGACCATGGTGTAAAATTAAATAGGGGAGTCAAGGAAGAAAGCGGATCACAAAGAATCCAGCTGCTAAAAGGGTAAAGTAAAAGGCTTAGTAGAAACAAGAGAGCAAAGGTTTGGGGGTGTTTTTTTTAGGTATCATTTTGGTGAGCTTACATATTCACTTTGCATATGCGTGGGGTTAATATACAAAGCTATGACAAAAAAACCCAGGGAAACCAGAAAAGGTAAAACACAAATATAAGGGCATGCCACATACGGGGCTCACACCTACACTTCACCCCAGGCTGTCCTCCCAGATGCACAGGGCGTCTGCTTTCCAGGGTGAGAACAACAATTAAAAAACAAAAAAATAATAGATACATGGGTGAGCATCATGTGAAACCATGTGCCTGAGAGTCCACCTAGAAGTTTAACAGAAAGGCTGATGAAATAAACTCTTTGAAACAATTTTCTTCATTTTAGTTCAATGAAGATTTAGTTTTGTATTGTTTACAGAAAATAAAAAGCTTACATATGTAACTTTCCTGCTGAATTAACATTTTAAGGGACAATTAGAATATAGAAAGGGTGGGTAGAATGACTTCATTATCTAAAAAGATTTTTAAAAAATTTCCCATTATAAAAGTATTATTCACTGTAAGAAATGCAAAACTAAACAAAAACAAAGGAAAATCAACCAGAAATAACCATCACCAACAGTCTGGTATTCATCCACCTAGTTGGTTTTTCATCCATATACATACCTCAAGACTATATAAAAAAAAACCATTTAAATTCTGCTCTTTTCAAAATTAATAAAACCTGAACATTTATTGATGTCCTTTAATGGTCTTCATTTTTTAAAAAACTGATTTTAGAGAGGGGAAGGGGAGGAGATAGAGAGGGAGAGAAACACTGATGTAAAACATTGATCAGGTTGTCCCCTCTAAGTGCCATGACTGAGGATCGAACCCATAACCTAGGCATGTTCCCTGACCAGGAATTGAACCTGTGACCTTTCAGTTTATGGGACAACACTCCAACCAACTGAGCCACACTGGCCAGGGCTTACAATCTTTATTAACATTAGTTTTCAAATACTTTAACTTTGGAAATTACTGAACAGTAAATTGTTAACATTGGTTTTCTAAGATTTTAACTCTGGGACTATCAAACATCAAATTTTTATTTCTTCATGGTATTCCACTCTATAGATATTCAATGAAGGAATTAACCAGTAGAATATTAAGGGCATTTAAGTTGTATCCAAGTTTTAAAAATAAATAACAAGGTAACAGACAACTTTACAGAGATGTAAATTGGATTATTTCTCTAGAAGAAATTCCTTCCAGGTGTTTATTGTGTCAGAAAATATAAATATTTTTAAGGCTTCCAATATATTACTGCCAAATCATGTTCTAAAATGATAGTGTCTGTTTTTTTGGTACCTTTATTATCATTTACTATAACTGTTTAAAAAACAGTCACCCCTCATCTCAAAGGTTTTTAAGACCGTTAAGGAAGCGGCTCTCCCCGCGCGGAGGGGCCCCAGCCCCACACCAGCGTGCAGTCATACTCCTCTGAAGTCAGCTCTGCTGAGGCTAGAGAACGGATGACCCACAAGAAAAGTAACTAAATATAGGCATCAGCTGCACGTATAATTACTGCTCTCCAGAAATGCCACTGCAAATTAATCTATCTTCATAACAGTTAGCAGGCAAGTGCCACCAATGCCGTGACTGTACCACACGCACCGCAGACCAACATCAGCTGGGTATCTACGTGTAACTCCCTGCTATGAAAAAACGCTTTTCATAGGAGCAGACATACTGCTAGTCAATCGAAAGGGCCCCTACTTCTGCATTTACGGAGCATAATCAGCTCTTTAGCACTTCCTCATGCCCGTGCTTCGCTGTCCCTGCAGTGCCCCGCATCTACCCATTCTACTTACTGACAGGATCATGCGGTACTTAAAATTGGGAAATTCCTGGTCGCACTTCTCACAGCGGTATAATCCATTCTGCTGATCAATCACTTTCTTATTGCAGTCCGGAGTCGGGCAGGCCTGATACATCGAATTCTCTTTGCGAAGATATACCACTGTCGCCACGGAGCTGAAGTAGTCTGCCTTCAGGAGGAAAGGGCGACACGGGACGCTGAGCAGCCAAGCCGGCAGCCAGGGCCGGACCAAGCGGCAGCCGGAAGCCTGCCCCCACATGCAAGCGTTTTTACAGGCTAATCACAAGGCAGCTACAGGCAGTAAGTTGCTCTGTAGCTTTAGAAATCACTTGGGCTAACCACAAAACCCCTAAAAAGGCAATAAATCAAGTTCCAAAGCATATAATTTCTTAACAGTTAGAGTTAACTCCGAGTTAAACTAGATTAATTAAAACTGAAATACAGTGTGCCAAAGATAAAGACTTCAAGAGACAAAGACTTGTTTCTCCTGTTCGTCTGACCCTCCACAGGTGGGAGACATAGGAAACACAAAGCAATGCAGAAAAACCTAACACACTGATGTTTGACCACCTCCCCTATTAAAAACAACAGGAGTGATTTCTAGGGCTCAGATTCACTTTTTTCTCTGTCTAGGCTTCGGGTCAGGGTAGTGGGAGCTACTCTGCTGTTGCCAGCAAACCATCCACAGACAATTTGTAAATAAAAACACGTGGGTACGTTTCAACAAGACGTTGTTTACAACAGGCAGTGGGTTGGATTTGGCCTGTGGGCTAGTTTGCCAAGCTTTGGTCTAAGGCATTAAATTCAGAAGAATGCAAAAATAACTGAGAAAGGACATTCAAAGTGGAGAAATCACTGATAAGTAAAGGCAGCCAGGACCAAGTCATGTGCCGGGGCTTTATGTTGTTGCTCTTTGTTTTGCTTTTCACCTCTCACAGAAAGGATGTGAAATGGATTCTTTCTGGGGGTGAACAGTTCCCTCTGGGTATACTGACTTCAGAGCCAGGTCAGCAACTTCTAGGGCTTTCCGATGTTTCAGAACAAAAGAGGCAAAACAATCACGTGGATGTTTAAAGAGCTTGGACGAGCCCTCAGTCTAGAGAGCTCGACAGGCAGGCAGTCTCCTAGGAGAATGCCTGGAGTTTTTCTGTATCTCCAGACAAGGTCCAGATTCAAAGCCAGACTTGAAAGTCCAGGTGCAAACAGGTTATCTCTAGGCCTGATTGCTTATGACAGACTGTCCACCTTTAGATCTTGGAGAGGGACTGGGTGACAGAGAACCCAGAGACGGGCTGTTCCTCTGACAGGACGGACAGGTCTGCCTACGCTTTGCTCTCGAGGCCTGAACACAGCGCTGGGGGCTGCCCGACGACAGTTGCCGGGCGAGGGCACAGAGCAAGACGAGACAGCAAGGAGTAAGGGCCGCACTGTGTAGCACGGAAATAACAAAGTGGGGATTGCTGTTTGGGTAAAGCATAAAGAATAAATAAATAATTTAAATATGAATTTGTAGACAGAAATGAGAGGAGGGTCATTCCATACTAACACTGAAGGGAAGCGGCGACCAAGGTCAAACGCCAGAGCCAATTCGTGTCAGACACACTGGCGGCTCACAGCCCGGGTGGGGTTCATATTCCCCAGCGGCGAGAGCACAGGCACGCTGCCGGCTGTGGGACAGCGTGCCTGCTGCGTGCACCGCGTGAGCCCTACATACAACCCCAAAACCTCTTCTTGGTGTGCAGGCATTTCAATCTGCAGGAACAATCAAAGAAAAGGAATATGGACTCCGGGGCAGTTTTCATTAAAATACATGGCTCGGTTATGACCCCTTTATTAAGATCCCTCTAAGAATTAAACAACTCCCTAAGTCAGAGTCCACATTTTCCGGCCTCCACGCACCGGAGCCTACAACGCACCCCTACTAGGAGCATGGCCACCGCCCCAGCCATCGCGCCACGCTCTGGCCAGAGCCCCCACTGCGAATCACAGCTCAGAATTAATGCCTGACAGCTGGTGGCGGGAATGGGCCTTGGAAACGCATCCTTTCGCACTCTACATGCTGTTGTGAGGAAGGCTAGGAGCGTAGGGTACCTTGTCACCTTGACCCAGGTTCTCCGATTTAACCTCATACAAGGTCTTCCAGTTGGTGCTGCTTCCGGCTGTTCCTCCACTCTTTAGATCTGAGATGGAAACACCATCTAACGCTTGTCCTTCTGAGTCAAACCTGAGAAATAATCAAAGAATGACAGACACTTTATATACTGGCTGAATATGCCACTCATTTCTTTACGCCAAATACAGGCTATCCACTCCTCCGCCCAACTTTCATAGGTCACACTCACACAGGCTGCGATGACTGTCTTTTTCACCGTATCTTTTGCCTACTGAGGAAACTGAGTGACCTCTTTTTATCTCAACTGCTTTGATGCCCCCCAGTGGTCAAGAGAGTCAGCGCCCAAGTACCACACCACCTTTTCTTAAATTGGCCTTGCCTATCAACACTGGCCCAAAGGCCCAAGGCCCAAGAAACAGCAACCTGGACAGTCAGCAACAAAAAAGCAATACTGTAGAGCTCTGGTTTAGTCCTTTGGGCTACGGATTTTCACCCTCTATCAGCACATGCATTTTTATCATCAATGGAATGTATCAGTATAGAGAGCAACAGTCAACATATTGTAATGGTAGCCAACAACAACAACAACAACAAAAAGTCCCAGGTGAGAGAGCTTTGAGGTCTGATACAGAGCCCAAAGGATTATATAACCGAAAGTAATGTATTAAGAGGTACTATCAGTTTTCTTGCAGCTTTACCTTCTTAGTGAGAGTTGTAGTTACATAATATTAACGTTAAAATTGATTTGCATTTATTATTAAAATTGATTACACTCCTTGATTACGTATCAGCCAATATTAAGGAAATGAGCCCAGGGAGAAAGTGGCTCAGACACATATCTGTGGCAGGGAAGAGTGACTCTGAGATTAAAAACATGCCAATGTCATCCCAATGGAGGATAACTAAAAGCTAACCACGTACAGAACAGGCTCCTTAAAGAGCCCACCTAAAGGGATGCGTGCTGCCTTGAGCTGCAGACAATTGCCTTCTCATCCTGCCAGGTAAGCGGCTAAATCCGTCAGAGAGGCACAGCAAGGTCCATAAATCTGTTCTGCCACGACGAGCTACACAAGTTTACGGTTTCAAAAACTCCAAGGAGACATTTGCCACCAAAGGCAGCTCATCAGGAGTCAACAGAGCAAGGAGAGAGGCAGCCCTTCTTACAATAAAAATTCCACGTTGCTATAACCGAGATCTAAACATCTCCAGTCCTTGCCTAGTGGGTTGTGCACACTGAACCTCTTTGATCAATGCCCAGTTATTTTATTTTGGAGACAGCCATGTCTTTTTATGTTGACCAGGATGACAGTTATTGTTTGACAAGTAAAATATAAAGACCTTAATGTGGGCATGCAATTAACCTGAGGTCGAGCTCCAGAGCCTGAAAGAAAAGAAAGCAGTAAGGACCCAAAGCTGTGGTTATTTCTGGTCAGACTACTAACAGGCCCGTTGTCTTCTAATACAATGCCAGCTACCAGGACAGTTACATATAGATACACGTGGGCCATACTCATAAGGCTGGTGTAAATGACATGAACATTCCAGTAGATGTTTCATGGAACTATTAAAATACTAGTGCTACTATTTCACATTAGACTCAGAACAAAAGCAGGGAGTATGTAATGTGAGCTAATTTGTTGGTCCCTTAAGCCCTAAAACATAACTGAAAACTGACACACTCCCCCCTGTGACTACAGCTGTACAAATTATTTAAGCTCAAGCGAAAGTGTTCTCCCTGACCACATCAATTCCTGCATACCATGTTTCAGTTTGAAGTGCTCCTCTGAGGCAGAGTTTTAACACCCTAAAAAGCTAGATATAGCAAGGAGATTTTAATAGGCGCCCCTCATCGCCTGAGTGCTTTGGGAATAACGATAAAACGCCAACAAAAGCCCATTGTTCTCACGGCACTTTATCAGAGTCCCGTGAACACACACTAGAAGATGCAATCGGCACCAAAGACTGGACGGAACAGAGCACTTTCTCCCCCCACACCACAGGAGGCCGCGGCGCTAAACCTGGGAGAGACAGATGCCTTTAGCACACAGCTGCGAAAGCCCGGCCTCATCCCGCTTTGGCAGGATTGAGGTCGGCGTGCAGCACTTCCATTTTAATGGCCTCTTCCTCTGTCTCTCCAGGTTTGTCAAGGGATTACAGGTTTGTCAGTTTAAGGGCTTTAAAGCCATCCTCTCAGAAGGCATAATGCCACCACGAAATATGGGAACTGTTCCATTCAGGAACAAAGCCCTCTGCTTGGCAGACAGCTCACATGCTGATTGCAAGAACCCAAAGAGCCAGTGCTTCTCAAAGCCCAGGCTCTAACAGCCCCCTTGTTTAGCCCCGTAACACCTACCATCCACGAAGCTTATAGGCCTCTGGGATGTCAGGGTTCACAATGACTGTGCTTGAAGACAGTACAGAGAGGCTCCGTCCACCAAAATCAGACACTCTGGCCCCTTTGATAGCCATCACGGGTTGTCTGGAACCATCAAATTTGTCAGCCTGCATCATAACAAAAATCCCAAACACATACAAACATGTGTCACTGGCAAGAGCAGACAGAACATTTTTAGAGAAAACATGGAAAACAGTCAATAGTGGAGTGAATGCAATAAATGGTGCAGGGAATCTATACAAGATAACCCGACACACAAGAATCTGCTCAGAGATACATCAAAACTGATGTAGAAGAAACAGCATTTCGCTATGTAAAACTTAAATTCTACTAAGTGCAGAAGTAAACCAAATGGATTTCAAATACTCCCATGACAGCCCAATCCTTCATTGGGAAGCGTCTACAGGACAAGCCACCACCTTTCTGCACACGCTCTGACTGCTGAACGGAAGGACTTACATCTTCTCCCCACAGAGTAGTAGACACCACTTTCCCTGACATGTCCATCAAATAGATATTTCTCTTAGAAACTTCTCTGTTGTTAGCCTTCACTGTGATTTTCGTGGCATCTTCATAGCTCTTGCAGATCCCGATTATGTCTAAAACACAGGCACAACGTTTTAGCGAGAGGTGGGCAGGGCTCCCGTTATGGCACGGCCACAGGCTGAAGAGCTCGCAGGGAGGTCTCATACCTTCCCTGTGTGTTGCAAACAAAACTGACAACCAGCACTCCCTTTGCTCTCAGACACGACACAGGCTTACCTACAAGCGAGTCCTTCGGTTTGCTCTCTAGGTCATCAATCTTTGTGAAATCAAACTGAACGGTAGGCAAATTACGACCGTCTTCACAGGGCAGGACAGCAGTCTCATTATTGAAGGTCATCTCATAGTCGTTTTTAACAGCTGTGAACTGTTTGTTAGCAATCTTCAGGGTGCCTTTAGAGAAATAATAGACCTGCAAAAGAGTCCGAGCCACGGAACATGGGACAGTCCGTCAAACTGGGTATAAAAACCCTTCACCACCACAGAGCCCTCCCACGACCGGGAGCTCCCTCATCCTTAACCGCTTCAGTCCTAGACTCAACACTGTCGTACCTTATTCACGTCAATGAGGGGGAAGAACTTGTCGGCTTGGTCGTTGAAAGCAGTAGCTCTGATTTCACCCTGTGGATGCATGCAAGAGGGGAGAATTGTGCGGTTCACCCAGTTTTGCCAGTGAAAAACAGAATACATTACTGTTGAATGACATCTTTAAAGAAACACACGTTTTATAGTCACATAATCAAGTTATTAATCCCATAAAACAAGTTTAGTTTAGATAACTGATCCTGTTACCACGCTTTATTAACTTCAAGTTAGAAACCTAAAAAATAAAATACAACGCCCCCCTACAACAAACCCAACAGTGAGTTTAATATACTGACAACAAAAATAAGACAACTTTGAACGCTGAGTGGCACGACCACAGCCCACGGGGGAGTGAGCTGGACCATGATGATTCACCGGCTTCCCTCGCATTTGCATTAAGTAAGGAATTAGTTCATGTTTAGGAGTCGTTGCCAAAAATGTTACAGCAAGTCACGTTTCCAAGTTGCTTGTGATTTGATTTTCACTTTTACTTTTTATCAGTCAAAATGCTACAGATGAACAAAAACCCGAAAAAAATGAGTGAAATTTTTGCCAACTGACAGAAGAGGCCAATATTTTGGTAAAAAATTAGGTTCTGATATTGATTTAGGCATTACAGTCAGTACAGGGAGGGGCGAAAGTAGGTTTAGAGTTGTATGTGAAACACAGAGTTGATCTTGTATTATGGCTGCATTATTCCCCATACAGACAACTGTGAAGCGCCGTTTGCCTCACCCCTGTACATCTGGGGTGTCATTCCATCTTCCAAGAACAAAAATTAAAAACAAACCACCTATTTTTTCTCTGCCCTTAAGAGGTGTGAACAGATAGGAAATAAGCGGCAGTTGAAGGGCCTGAAGTATACATAGCATGAGGAATTAGAAACAAAACTAACGGACAGAAGAGAAACAGCTAACAAGACGGTAGAGACTCCACAGCTTGGCTTTTTGGTCTCCTTGCTGTGGTTTGGTTTTGTCTGAGTAAAGCACGTAGAGTCCGCATCGTCGGGATCCACCTCCCACAAAATCAGTCACTTATCGGGGTGGCTGCTGTGTGCCTTCTGCTGCAGCTTCGAGCGCCACTTTGCTCATGAGCACATACCACCTCCCCCAGCTTCAACTAAGCCCACCAGCGAGTCGGACGGGGCATCGCTGCTTTATCCTGCCCATTAGGCGACTTATAAATTTAGAAAACTAATTCCCATGGCTAGAAATGCTTTCGTTTAAGGTTGAGGATTTTATTTATAACCTTTGACCCTTTTTGTCCCCCAAAGAGGAAAGACTACAAGACTACAAAAGAGGAAAACAGTAACAATCACGGTTCTTCCTGGCCTCCCATTGTTCTTCACCCCACAGGCCCTCAGCGATGAGCCTTCTGTTTCTCAGAGTCATCTCCCCACTTGACAAGTACTCACACTTTCATCGACTAGTTCTATAGAGAAAAGCTTCCCCTCCCCTCGGGAATTGCTCCAGGTACGGATCTGACTTTTGTTGGTAACACGAGCACAAATAGTCCACCTAAAAACCAAGTAAGATTGTATTAGCATTCGAATTTTACTTGAGAAGGATCTGAAAGGTTCCCTAACATCTTCCTACAGCTTTTCTTAGCTCCTGCGTATTCCATTTTTCAATGTAAGCTCTATTTTAATCCACCTAATTAAACCGAAAGATGACATAAAGGTTTGACAGTTTATAGAATAAGCAAATAGTAAAACATACCAGGCGATTTAACACTAACTCATTCTCCTGTCAAATAGGTAAATTTACAAACTCTCTCCCTTCTCCAAAAAGCATCACCAAGGCAACAATATCCCCTTAATGAAAGGTTTGAAGCTAGAAATGCAGTAACACCAGCAATTATATTTTGCCACTATTTTCATTACGGGAACTGGTATGGCTGGTGCCAAACTTCAGTCTCATTTCTAACACACGTCGAACAGAAAAACACGGCTATGGAACGTGGTGTTGGTAAGACGCCAAAGCAAAACACACCGAAGCAGTAGGGACCCAGAAGCCACTAGAAGAGGAGGCACAAGGTTCGACACCCGGTCCCGGTGCCCATCCTGAACATGTCTTTCCCGCACTGTGAAGAACTGAACTGCAGCTGCCAAATTAATTTTTAATGGAAAAAAGGTATAAAAATGATCTCTTTGAGGTATATTAATGTAAATATAAATATAGGACATGTTCTTTCAGCCAACTATATCAAGAGTAACATTTATGGACTACAAGCCACCTATTTACATGATGAGAAAATAAACGCCTTCTTGAATTAGAACGAATACTTAGTTTTACTCCTAAGACTGTCCATTGATTCTTTCTGCGTTACATATTTTAAATTTCAAAATGAATGAAACTCAATAGGTATGGCAGATCTTTCTTTTGGCCATTCTTATCTGACAAGGGAGTTAAAGGGTAAAGAAAAAACAAAAAAGAGGAAACCAATTTCATGTGTGGTAAGAGTTCAGACACAAATAAGACGAGTCCATAGTGCCCTCACATACTACTTTGCAGCACATTCTGCACTGACTCCGCAGGGCGACTCACTTGGACTGGTAAGGGGTGAGGCTGGCAATGGGCACCACCTTGGCCTGTGTGCCCCCGGAACTGCTCGCGAGGCTCGCTCCTCCGGCTTTTCCAAATATCTTTGAGGCACCATAAGGGTTGGATACAGTGGAACCTTTCAAAACAAACACAAGGACAACCATTATTCTCTTTAAACTGACTCTGTTACAGAGGTGTCACTGGTGAAATCATAAAACAAGAGGCAAAGTTCCTCCTTTTTAGTATCAAGAGACATGAAAATCAAGCAGAGCCCACACAGGAGGCTAAAAACCAATCTAGAACGAAGGCTGGGCACACAGACATTCCCTGTGTATTTGGTGACTTAAGTCCTGAGGACAAGCGAACAAAGGCAGTGCCCCTTCAGAGGTCCGCCCTTCTCACACTTTGCTCTTGTATCAGTGGGTGAGAGGACAGGTCAGCAAAAGAGAATCGACCGCCTTGCCTGGTAAAACGGATGCAAGTCACTAGGTGCAAAAGAACAAAAGGACAGGCCAGGAGGCCAGGTTCACAGTGGATGAACCATCCAAGGTGAAGGACACCTGACACAAACGTTGTATATCCCCTCAAAACTCCCGGTCCTCAGCTATCTACAGGTCTGAAAAGGACAGAATGGAATCTACAGCACGGGGTTTATTTGGGAGCAGAGGGGAAGAATCTGCTGTTGGTTCAAGACACGCAGGCGGCTGGCCACCACGATTCCCTCCGCCTCCTTAGTCCAAGCCCAAGCAGCAGCCTCCACCTGGCAGGTTAGGAAAGCCCAGAAGCACACGAACTGCTCCGCATGCTGCTTCTGTAAAGCTCACCCCCCTGCATTCAGAAAACATAATTTAGTCCAGTGACTTCATATCTTCTCTATCAAAACATTTCTTCACAATGGAATGTTTCTAGAAGTATAAATCTACCACTATTCAGCATTTATTTATTGAGTTTTCAAAGCAGGTACCACACACTATTCTAGGTATCTGTAGCACTTTAGTAAAAAATATACACAGACTGTCCCAGATCTTAAAATTTTCTATTCTAACTGCGGAGCTGAGAGACAGCTATATACAGAACAGAAACAGTTACTTCAAGAATATGCAAAGAAGCACACGGGCTATGTAGAATGTGTGTGTGTTTACATACCTAATATTTAATACACAATTATGTAAAGCACACACACACATCTAGTTTTCAAGTCAGGTAGCTTTTCTCAGTACATATCCAGTCTTCTTTCTTTCACCATCCAGCTGATGTGTATTTAGGAAACATTAACAGATTTTCACAATTAAATATTAATACAAGCCAAAGACGAATAACTGAGAAAATAAGTCTGTGAAAGGAGAGATAAGAACGATATGCTACTATTTAGATTTCAGCATAAGGAAGTGACTTTTTGATTGTTTACCATTTTAGATAATCTAGTCCACCACCTCCCTTCAACAGTAGGTGGATTTGGGAGTTGTGTATGAATAGATCCACTTATAAAGAGAGAGACAGAAAGCAGGTGGATAGCTTTGCAAGGTAGATAAAAACATCCAAGACCAATGGGGAAAAAGTAATGTCTTGAAAGTTTCATAGGAACATTACTGACGTCATAACTTTGCCTTTTTTAGAATCTTAGCACTGAATAGAAAACAGTAGCTGAGGGGAGGCGCGGAGGTGGCGTATGCGATGCTGTGACAGAAGAAAGGACCTCTAAAGATAAACCCAACCAAGTTCTACGAATCATAATTTTCAACGGTGGTTCCTACAGTAAAGGCCAGAAGGAAGCAAAGTGATTCCATTACAGCCTCTGAGGACGCGCTGCAGAGAAAGTTAAAAGAAGAAACTATTTCTCATCCACGAAACTGAGAAGCGAATCTATGATCAATATAAATGACACTGTCTTCAAGCTAAGATAAATAGTCAGGAGCCCAAAACGGGAAACTTGGAGAGACAAGCCTAATTTAATAAGCAGATCCTAGATAGTTAAAAGACTGGAATTTAAAAGCTATGTAAATTCACAAAGTCAAGAGGGTATAAAACCCAAAATGTGGAAAACTACCAGAAAAACTATTAACAGAGAACAGTATATCATTCTGATAAAAAATGACATATTAAGTATCTTTAAAAGACTACCTTTAATCACTTTTTCAATCACATACTTTGCAATGAAAACTGAACTTACTCTTTGCAAGAAGCAACTGTCATGAATGGCATTCTAAACACCCCCGATAGTCCCAGATTAAATTTCAAAACATTATTCAAAAGCCTGACACGTATGATCAGCAGCATAATCAGCACACATCCTCACGTGGCAGTCTTACCCATTCCTGAGCTCCCATTCTGTTGCTGGGGCTTGCTGGTTGGTGGACTGGCTGCTGAGGCCGGAGAAGCAGCTACCTGCTGCTGCCCGTGTCCTAAGGATCAAAAGAGAAAGATCATTTTGGTGCAAATAACTTGGATTCGAGGGCTGAAACTTAAGTAGAAGAAATACTCAAAGAAAATACAAATTTATGATTTTGCTGAAGACTCTCATGGGTTCCAAGCCATGCTGGGGCAGTCGATAGCATGCCATGGTTCTGCTCGGGGGTTCGCTCTTGTTTTCATTTCATAAAAGGCTGGCTCCATTTATCTTTCACCTGCTTATAATTGATAGCTCTCAGTTTTAATGAGGTTCTCCCCTAAAGCCTTGCCCATTTCTCTTGCATGAACCTGAAGTCAAGTCACTGGGCTAGATCTCCGACAATACCGCTATTTCCATAGCAACAAATCGATGTCATCAACAGAACTGTGTGTTCACGGCAGGAACTATTAGAAGAAAAAGCTGGGTGGTAAGAAAAACCTAAAAGCGGTTCAATTGTCTCTGAAGTGCTCCTGCTTCAAAGGAAAAAAAGACATTCAGAAAGGATTCTACCCTCTCCCTCCCAAACAAAGCTACTTTATTTTGCAACTGACGGCTGGTGGAAAATAAGAGTTGAAAGAACCTTAGGTACCGTGAAGTGCCTGTGAACTGTCACAGCAGGAAGAGATGAGAATGGAGTTCAGAAACCAGGTGTGTGAAGGAAACAGGAAGATTAAAAGGAAAAGAGGGGAAATGAACTCTCTGAAGCAGAAAGTAAGAAATGCCATACCATCAAGGTGTTTCTTTGCCCCTCATCCTTTCTACAAATGTTTATTAAGTTGAAAATGTTAAAATAGCAAAATACACCTAATTAAAAAAAAAACAAAACCCCAATAGATTTACGGAATTTTATTTTGCCTTTGTAATTGGCACTAAAAGTACAAGTCAGCCTGGCCTGCTCACCAAGAGTGCTCGTGGGAGAAAAAAAAAATTTCCTCGAGTGCCTGGGAACCCCGACGGAGAGCCCCGCTGAAGGAGCCGCCGCAGCCTCCGCCCCCGCCCCGCCCCGCCTTCTCCAACGACTCTCCTGCTGCGCTTCCAAGGCCCTACCTCAACCGGGCACATCACGCGCCGCCGGTGTCATTTCCTTCTGCCAATATTACTCTTCAGTGGTACGACTAAATGAGAGTTAACTGTGCCATTAGAGTAAAATTAATTTAGCATAAAATTGGAAAGGTTAAGCAGAATTGTTTATTCTTTAGTTCTTCCTATGGAGAGGAAAATCAAGGCTGTATTTACATAGAAAAAGGGACATAGATTCTTGACAAGCAAGTTTTGTGTTTGCTTTTAGCTTCCGCACTGTCTCTGAAATTACAAAGTGTCATAGAAATTGAATGAGAGAACTGCTCTTCTTTCATACTATGTCTTGCGAAGGAGTATTTTGAACCTTTTTAAAAATCGGTAGGGAAAACATGAGTGGCTCAGTAAACAGTATTAGGGGCTAATGCTTGGGGGGAAATGTTTTTCTTTTCCCCCTGCTTCATGAAATATTCGAAAGAATGAAAAGATTTAAACATCCAAAGATGGTACCATAAAAATACACAAACCCCGGCCCTACTCCACCCAGTGCCTCCCTCTCCTCCCATGGTCTCAAATACGCACAAACTCTCGAGCCCTCATCTTGATAGATGCCTGCTTCTTCGAGTACACTGCTAAACAGGACGTGGTCATGGGACATGCTGATCTCTTACCTTTAATTTCTATCAAAATGTAACCACCTTTATGAGGTACCCAGAGTACTCAAATTCAGAGAGACAGGGAGCGGCGCCGTGGCCACCCGGAGCTGGGGGAGCGGGAAGTGCAGAGTTAGTGTCTCACGGGCGCTGAGCTTCAGTTCAGGGTGGGGAAAGAGTTCTGACGTGGTGATGGTTGCCTAAGAACGGGATGCACTCAAATGCCACTAAACTATACATTTAAAAAATGGTTAAGATATACATTTTGCAATGCATATTTTACCACAATTTTTAAAAATATAACTTAGCTATTTACCTATTCTGAGTATTTTTGACATTTTAACGTATGTATTAAAATTAACGTGTTGCTCTGGCCAGTGTGGCTCAGGTGGTTGGGGCATTGTCCCCAAAACCAAAAGGTTGTGGGTTCAGTTCCCACTCAGTGCTCATGCCTAGGCTGCGGATTCAGTCCCTGATCAGGGCGCACACCAGAGGCAACCAACCAATCAACATTTCTCACACTGACGTTTCTTTCCCTTTCTCTCAAATCAGTATGCATGTCCTTGAGTAAGGATAAAAGTGTGTGTGTGTGTGTGTATAAGCGTGTTATAATTTCCTTTTAGTAGTACAAATAAAATAGTACAGTCTTATATAATTATTGGATTCTTAGATTCAGTGAAGTAGACATTAATAATAGCTACCATTTTTCAGTGCTAATTATGCACCAGGTACTATACCATTTAATCTCCAGCCCTATGATATAGGTAGTATCATTATACCCTTTTAACAGATGAGAAAACTGGGTCACAGAGGTCAAGTAACCTGCCCAAAGTCACGCAGCTAGGAAGAGGCAAAATGTCATCTTGAACTCAGGTTTGTCTGACTAGATCCAACTCCTTCACCATGTAGTTAATTTTTAATTGTAAGCAACCAATTCTGGCAGCCACAACTATATAGAACATAACTAATAACCCTAACATTTGGTAGCTGGGAGAAGTTACTAATTCATTTATCAGAGCAATCCTCAACTTCTGCTTTGGTCTACATTTGCAAATCTGGCACAGGACACAAGGGACAGCCTCAAAGTAAATGGATGGCAAGCATCCTGGTGCATTGTAAACAGCAACAATTGCCCTTCAGCTTAATGCACTGCAACGCGGCTGCTGACCGTGAGAAGTCAAAGAAATTAGTCTATAGCTAAATAAAAATCTTTCTAAAATTTAAAATTATACCCCAAAGTTGAAATGCACAGACTCAACCTCTGATAGTCTGTTTCATGCCACTTGCAAATCAAACCATTTATTTCAGGAAGAAGGATCAAGGTCGTAATTCTTAGGTGCTCTACGCTAGCTTCACATCATTGGCTCTCACCCAGGAGGAAAATGGGACATTTAAAAGGCAGACTCCAGTTCCTCAGGTTGCTTGCATCCACACCTATCATTATCATTGTAGCGGTGAGTGAGCCACCAGCAGATAAAAATTAGGTAACACACAATGGAGTGCACAAAAGCTCAGTTTCTACTAGCAAGTGCTTTCTTAACAACAGCTACAAAGAATTTAAAGGAGAGTCAATCCAATAGTTACAATTTCCTGTTGGAGAAAATGGACAGCATCAGGCAGAAAAAAATTCCAATTAATGAGTAATACTACTAAGTGTAAGAAATTTAAGTCTACATAAAAGATTATGGTTAGAAATAATGTAGGTACAGAGAATATACATATTGACAAAAATATATGGGAGATTTAAAATCATCCAGTCCAGTACTGTATGCAACATGAATTGTGTCTGAAGTTTTATTTCTCACATTTAAAAAATTCTGTATCTTTATTTGAGGTAGTACTAGTACCATAAGACAATTTCAGTGTACATTTTGGAATTCCTCTGCCAGTTTCTGGGCTGGATTTAGTCTATTAATTTTACTGGTCACTTAATTATGTCACAGGTTCTGGGTTAAGTGCTAGGAGGATACAAATCTAACTTTAGTTCTCTATCCACTAATAACAGAGTTTCCTTGCTCTCACAATAGACAATTAGAAAACATTTATGTGAAATACACCTGTAAGGTAGTAATCATTGTAACAAAGCTATTTCTATCATGGCCCAAGTAACAATACGTTATTCACCTGGTTACAATGAAATTCAATAGCAAATAACTCTGGACAGCAAGATCTTCCTCTCACCCCCTGCACGGGAACAGATCCTGAAGGGAAGAACCAGTGGAACTGGATACTGGGACAAAGGAGTCTTCCCCACAGTTTTACAGTTCTAACCCTAAGCAGTAATCTTTATCTTTATTTCAAATACTTTCCCCCCTGAAACACAAAATGTCTGAACAACCATTCAATTAAATACAACATAAAAAACATTTGAAATCTGGCCGATAAAATTAGGCACCATCCCCTCTCCCTGACCTTGCTACAGCATCCAGAGATTTCAGAGGTGCTAAGAATTGCTTTGCCTTAGCTCTCCTTCCTAAAAGCTGAGAATACAATAAACCAATGTGCTCATTTTAACAAAATATCACTACTACAAAACAAATGTGATGTTCCAATTTAATATTTTAGAACTTTACCTGAATAAGCCAGGTTTCCCTTTCCAATTTAAAGCACTAAATTACTGTTTTGTGTAGGTACAAATTAAAATATAGAAGGTTCCATTTCTGGAAGAAGTATGGTGATGACCAAGTCCCAAATCTTCCCACTTCTCTTAAAAATGACATAAAGCAACAAAGAGGATAAATACCCACAACATAACTCAAACACACAGACTACATCTTTTAGTGAAACCAGGGGACTGAGAAAACCCACAAATTCCAAATTATGTGAAAGTGAGGCCTTAAACACCACAAACAAAGAAACCACAATGATAAGGCAAAGGCAGCATGGATGATTTAAATGTAAAAAATAAAATCTCGCCAAGTACTAGAATAAAACATGGGCAAATACCCTAACTTTGGAGTGAGGAAAACCTTTCTAACTATGGCTTAAAACCCCAAAGTCATAATAAAATAATTGGAAAATTCAACTTCATAAAAACAAAAACACAGCTACATAGCAAAAACACCATAAGCAGAGTCAAAAAGCCTTTGTAACACATACTGGAGAAAATGGATTGATACCCCTACTTTTTAAAGAACTCTTAGAAATTGAGAAAAGAAAGACAGACAACCCAAAAGACAAATAGACAATACAATAGTCAGTTTACAAAGAATAAAAGGCCCTTTACACTTAAAGGGATGGTCACCTTGCTTGGAATACAACTTAAGTACATGGAGATGCCAGTTTTCACCTATGGGTTTGGTAAAAACTCAGAGCATTAACAACAGAGTATATTGTTAATGTTTGTAGAGCCTAACACAATTGTGAAGAAACCAGTATTTTCATGCATCGCTGGTGGGAATGCAAATGATACCAGCCCGTGGAGGGCACGCTGACCAAACCTACCTCCCCCTCCGCCACAGATTTGCTCACCCACTGACCCGCAATCTCACTTCCGAGCTCACACTCCTTCCGCCCACATTGCCTGCATATATAAAGTTATTCACTGCAGCAGTGTCTGAACAGTGTGAAAACAACTCAAGTATCCATCAGTAAAGGGCTGGTTAAATTACGAAGCAGACACAGAACAGAACACTCCATTAACTATTTAAAAGAAAAAGGAAGACCTCTAAGTATATGTATGGAACTATCTTTAGGATGAGAGCTTTTTAAGAAGTAGAGTAACCCTGGCTAGTGTGGCTCAGCTGGTTGCAGCACTGTCCTGTAAACCAAAAGGTCACGGGTTCGATTCCGTGTCAGGGCACATGCCTAGGCTGTGGATTCGATCAGTCTGTTTAGCACGGGATAGCCTTCTCTACATCTAGTCACAGAAGTGCCAGAAGTGTGAGTGTTGAATAAAGAGAAACTGAGGAGAGGTTTTTGCTTTATGGAATCTAACCATCGTTTCTTCAGTCCTGAAAAACACTCAAGGAAGAATCTGGTTCTTAGTCCCCCAACCAAATCACTAGTTTTATTAAGACAAATCAAACGGAATCCAAAAAGTAGAATTTCTGATCTACGAAGAGGTATTCATTTGACTGTTAAAACGTACAAAAAGCATTTTACCTTCATTATAGGGCACTGGATTGCCAATCTTTCCTCCAACTGCGTCTGCTGATTTTAAAACCTCTAACTCCATCAAAATAACTACTCTCCTACAAAAATCAAAGAAACAGAAACAAGTTAGAAAAAATAAATTTACAAGCCTGTCAAATAACAAGCTACTTAAAAAGCTTTTTCCCCAATAATCGTTCTGATAAAACTATTTCTCTTTGTCAGCTGGTTTTCATTGCAGAATAACTTGAGAAATATATGGTAACAGTTCCTACATAAATATTTCCCTTAATCTTTCAATGCATTATTATCAAGGCTTTTTATGATCGCTGGGTTTTCATTTTTCATCTAGTCCCTTAATTAAAATGCAGTGTCCTTATTACATACCATATCTTCACGGAGCAAATGATAAGAATTTAGATCATTAAACATAAGAATATGTGCCACAACAAGAGATGATCTGCTTTCAGAAACGTAACACTTACCTAAACAATTACCTTTCCCAGTGAAAACCATTATGACTGTAGTTATTTTAAAAAATATAATTACTATCTAAGAATATACAGTCCCTTGACCTATTTTTTTTAAACCCTGCTTAAAACCCCCCAATAACCTCCCAAGGGCTGTAGGCCAAAACAGAAAGAGTCTTTTGCGTGGCCTGCAGGCTCTGCCTGGCTTGGCACTGCTCATGTCCGGCTCCCCTCGCTCCGGCTCCCCAAGCGTCCCTGCTCTCTAGCCAGGCTCCTTCCGGTTCCTGGTGGGCGTTACGCTCCCTCCTGCCACAGGGCCTTTGCGTGTGCTGCCTTCTGTTTGGGACGGCTCTCTCTCACGCTGCTTCATCTAATACTCATTTTTTGCTTTTCATCTCAAATTATCACTTCGAGACACTCCCTTAATCACCTGTTTAGATCAGGTTTCTCTTATGCTCTTTTCTATAACCGTAATTGCTTTCCTTCAGATCACTTCTCTCAGGTTTAATTAATATATATGAACATGTATTAATATATAGTATACATGTTCTTTCTTTATGCATACAGGGGTGGCCAACAGTAGGTTTACAGTTGTTCATATAGGAAATAGTAACAGTAATAAATTACAAGAATAAACTGTTTTGTATACTCACAACTGTAAACTTACTTTGTTCAAACTAAAACTATAAATTATTACACCCATATTATTGCCCTATGAACCACACTCAAACAGGCGTCACTCCTGCTGGACCCTGTATATTATAACTGTACGTTCATTATTTGATTGCCTGTTTCTCCCTCTAGACTGTCCTTTCAGTGAGGGCAGGCACCCTCCCATGCTTAATGCCACAACTGGTCCAGTGTTGCTTGTTGCTCAATACAGACTTGGATACGGATGTCATGATCATGTCTGTATTCTAAAGAAAACTGTAATATGAAAAAGGAATTTTAGGGGAACACAAGTGGGAGCAGGGAGACCAAGAGAAGAGAAGTGATGGTGGTAGCAGCAACAGAAATAAAACACTGTAAAAAGTGGATGGGTGGAAGCACCATGCACATTCTTTAAATGGTCTGATGGCTGTTATTTTGAATTTTTATGTATACACGATCAGTTTGTGCTACTTTTATTAGGTTTTCATATCAAGGGTATATTACTTCAGTAAAATAAACTTGAAACTATTTGTTCCTGCAAATTTGATACATATACCCAATAAAAATGATCTGGTATTTAATGACCTTCCAAAATTACCCAAATTACACAAGAAAATAGAAAAATGAAAGGCTTATCAATAATTTTGCATTACCCTAGTACCAAAACCCTAGAGAAAACACACTAAGAAAAACCAACATTTTTTTATCTTATAGTATACATACATCCTAACTGAAATGTTAGCAGAATGAATCCAGCAGCATATCAAAAGAATAAACCTTCCCAATTTATAGAAAACACAGATAAGAACACACCATGCCTTTTTGGGGACACAATCAGCAACACCCTGGTTTCTCCAACAAATAAACAATAGTGAGGGACTAAACAATTATGGAGGAGGGCGCTACTCTTCAGAGACTTAAAAGAACTACCGTGGCCTGAACTTCGCTCTGGATCCTGACTCAGATAAATTATTTACACACACACACACACACACACACACACACACACACACGGAGTTGGAAAAAGAACACCACAGGATATTTAATATTTTAGGTGTAAAGTAGTATTTTTTAAGAAAGAGCTCTTGTCTTTCAAAGATATATACTAATATATTTTTGGATAAAATAATGCATGTGAGATGTGCTTCAAAATTATAGGAGAGCAGACGTGGAAGGGCTAAGACAAAACAAGACTGAATGCTGGGTGGTGATCCGAAGCTGGATGGGGGGGCGTGTGGGTGTCCATACGGTGCATTCTTGAATGAAAAAACTTACTATCAAAACCTATATAAAGTTAATGCAATTCTTTGCATTCCAACAAGACTTGTTTTTCTAGTGAATTCTAGTAACTCTAGAATTCACATGGAAGAATAAACAGAACTGCCAAGAAAACTGGGATGGGGGAGAATAAAAGAAGACTTCACCTATATAAGTTATTGAAATATTCTACAGATGACACTTGAACTGAAAACACTATGTCAGATGTAATGATCCATGTTGGTGGATGCATTGATAGTGGAAATGTAAATTGGTAAAACTGTTTTGGAAAAGAGCCTGGTAGTTCTCAAAAAAATCATAAAATTACCACTTGAAAACAATTCTACTTCTAGATAAGATATATACAAAAGAAGTGAAAACATGTCCACACAAAAACTTGTATGTAAATGTCTGTAATATTATTCATAATAACAAGAATGTGGCAACAACCAAATGTCCAAACAAAAACATAAACAAAATGTGACATACATATAATGGAACATTATTTGGCCATAAAAAGGAATGAAGTATATGTTACAACATGGGTGAAACTTGAAAACATTATGCTAAGTGAGTAGAGGCTAGTTACAAGGGGTCACATATTATATAACTTCATTTATGTAAAATGTCCAGGATAGTGGCGGGCCAGGTCCCCAGGAGGGGGCACTCGCGAGGCAACCTCACATGGATGTTTCTCTCCCTTTCTTTCTCCCTCCCTTCACCTCTCTAAAAATAAATAAAATCTTAAAAAAAAAAAATTAGTAAAATGTCCAGATAAAGAAATGTATTTAGACAGAAAGTAGATTAGTAGGTGTTGAGGGCTGGGAAGGATGGGGAACTGGGGGATGATAGCTAAAGGGTCCAAAGTTTATTTGGGGTGTGATAAAATATTCTGAAATTAATTGTGGTAATGGCTGCACAAGTGAATGAATCGTATGGTATGTGAATTATCTCTCAATAAAGCTGTTACCAAAAAAGAGGAAAAGGACATAAATCCTCCATTGCACTGACACAGAATAGACAAACAGATCAATGGAAAAAGACGGCAAACTCAGAATAAATTAGATAAATGAAATACCAGTCTCTCTGTATCTACTTCTGCCACCAACCATCAATCTTCCACACAGCTATCAGAATAATCTTTTGGAAATTTAAAAAAACAACTTAGTTTAGATTATGCCACTACTGCTCTGCTCCAAACCCCATGGCTTCCTATCACACACAGAATAAAACAGAAACTCCTTACTGGGGCGTACAGGCCCTCCATGATATGGGCGCTCCATTTGGGAAAAAATTAAGATAAACTCCTCCTTCATACCTTATATAAAAATAAATTGTTCATAAACTATTTAATTCCACATCACAAGATAATATAAGCAGAGTATGATAAAGTGATATAAAATATTTGAAACAGCTAACAAAGAATTAACCAGCATCTCAGGTTTAAAGAGTTTCTCCTCAACACAAAAAAACAAAAACATGGTCAAGTATATAATAAAAAGCTATCCAGGGAAGAACCATAAATAGTCAATAAGTATATGAAAAAAATGCTTGATCCTATTAATAAAAATTTTAATTTTAAAAATAATTAGCTATATTTTTAAAAATCAGTAATATGCTGACAAGGTTAAAGGGAAACAGGTATTCTTTTTTTAAAATAACGGCTTTTAAGATAGCATTTACATATAATAAAATTCATCCTCTGAAAGTATAATCCAGTGGCTGTTAGTCTATTCATAGAGTTGCACAAGCACCAACACTTCTTAACTTCAGAACACTTTTATCACCCCCAAAAGAAACCCTGTACTATCCCCTGCCTCTGGGAACCCATAATCTAACTTTTGTGTCTATGATTTGTCTATTCAGAAATAAGAACTCTCACACAATGTTCATGAGTATGTTAATTGGTATACTTTCTACAATAGATGTTCTTTGGTCCCACAGTACTAATTCTAGTAATCTACTCAGAAATAAGAGCATGCGCATGTAATATACAAGGATGAACGCTAAAGCCCTGCCTGGAATAAACCTAAGTAACTATTAAAAAGGCAAAAAGTAAATAAACTAGGATGTACACATAGAGGTTCCCATCATAGGTAGGAGAAAATACAAGGCATGCCACCATACTGAGGCGGTGGAATAAGGCAAAGCCCATGGGCTGGAATTCTACCCCTGACTAGAGAGCATGAAGCCTGAGTTTTTGTACTCAAGCCCAGCAAAGCTCTCCATCCTTTCCCACAACCATGCCCGAGAGGACAGAGAAGTGGATAGAAAGCACACTCAGGTACCTAAAAGTAGCCTGGAGTGAAAGATAAGAAGTCCCAGGTGGGAAGGTTGGCAAGGAGATATACCTAGCCTCAATATGTCAGGACAAGTATGAAGTCTGGACAGAATTGTCCATTTTAAGCATAAACAAGGTAAAAAGAAATGACGTGGCAACAATGTAACACACCACAATGTATAAAAAGGAAAAGAACAGAGGAGGCAGAGGCATTTAAAGAATCCAGTCCAGAACATAAGCCAAGAAAGAGAATAATACTTCTCAGGAGTGGTCTGCAAAATATGTAAGAGTAAGAAGTCAATAAAATAAGTCAAAAGATGAGATAAAACAAAAGATTAAGAAAAAAAGTGGAGACTGAAAAGCCAAGGAAAAACTCAGAATAAAGTTAATGCCATTATACATCTAATACTTACATCATAAACATCAAGCAACAGAAAAGAGA